GGGGGGAATGGGGGGGGGGGGGAAGAAAAGGAAAATTACCTAATTCCAGGAACCCAAGAGGAAAGCAAATTTTGAGAATGAGGGCAACAAATGTATAAGTGTGCTTTACACAATTGATGTATGTATGGATTATGATGAATCATATGAGCCCCAATAAAATGATTTAAAAAAAAAACATTTTTACTAGAAGAGCTAAAATTCAGATGTTGCCTACTAAGCACTGCACAATCTAAAAACGGTCACATAAAGGTGGGATCATTTTACCCAGTGATCCTGAGCATACAGTAAGTCTGATGTCTCCTCCGGCTGGGAATTCCAGGTGGAGAAACAGGAAGAGCCTCAATGCAGACAAACCACAGTGTCCTCTGTATGCATGTACGATTTGATCGACAGCTCTTTTCAAGCATGGAGCATGGATTTTTTAAAATTAAAAATAAACCCAAAGCGATCTTAATGCATACATTTACAAACAGGTGTCTACTATGGACTTCACTTCGGGGAGCTCGGTGGCATGGTGGGTTATGCACCAGGCTGCTACGGACAAAGATGACTTTGTCGTCAAGGCTCTCTGTATCCACAGCAATTTGGGACCTCAGCACCCCACAGAGACAGTCCCACTCTGCCCGACAGGGTCGCTAAGAGCCAGAACCAAGTCAGTGGCTTGAGTTTGGGGGTTTGGAATATTCACTTTATTAACACAAAGAAAACGTTCAATACAGGACCGAGTGAAACAAATACCTAAGTATCTTAAGAATAATTCCCACTGCTCTGCAACATTGTTCCTCCACACCAAAATCTCCCCTAATACAATTCATCCCTACATAGAAAAGACCAGAAGACATTCAGGAAAATCATCGATATCATGCACCATTAAAGATTTACTAATCAGGAGGATGAGATTCTATACTAAGGAAATATAAAAAGCAAATGTCTCACTTAGAAAAACAAGTAAAAGTATAATTACAAAAAGAACTCTTAAAGGTTGATTTTTTCACCCCCTCAGCTAAGAAGTCTACGCGACAACAGATACACTCTGGGAGCCTACAGGGCAGGAAAGACCTGCCCCTGCGGGCTTCCAGGGCTGTGACTCTTTACAGGGACAGAGGGGTCATCTGCGCCTCACGCTGTGCCTGGTGGCCTTGCAGTTGGCAGCCCAGAGCATAAACCACCGCGCCAAATGGGCGCCTTATCAGACATCCTAGTGGGATCCTTAAGGAGGAGCATTCTTAAAATGCTTAACACTCTCTAAAAACACAAAGGAAGGAAGGAGACAAGAGTGTGTTGGACAATTAAATACACCACCGTCAATCTAATGTGATGTGTAACTACTGTGACTCCTACAAAGTGTTGCCTGTAGTCTGCAGTACAATTACTACTGAGAAAAACCTTAAGATTTCTGTCACTTTAGGCATTAAAGGGAGTATTACTCTTCAATTACCATGAAAATATTTTTGGTTCTTCATTATCATTATCTTACATTAAAATTTCCCAAGTGGACTAGGCAAGGCCTGCAAGTGTGATAAACACCTTTATAAGGCTATGTATTGAGGAACAATAAAATGAGAATCACTAAGTAGTTTAAAACAAAGGCTACTTTGGAATATAATGTCTTCATATAGTGAATGCTAATTTTAACATCACAGTATTTCTTATTGAGACTAGCACAGGAAAATTCTAAGGTCCATCCCAACACTGATGTTCCAGAATTATGATA